GAAGTAAATTTAAAAGGAAAAATTTAGTTTCATTAATATTTTTTTGCCATCTTATAGAAAATAATTTTTTATTCAATTTTTTAAAAATAAACTTCATTGTTTTTTTTTTTTTTTTTTTTGGTTTGTAACTATAATTTTAAATTAATTTTTATTAAAGCAAAAACTATAGCAAGCCCTGTTTTTTTGAAAATTTAAATAAAATATAGTTAAATTTATAAACAAATATTCAGCACAACTAATGTTGACTGCAATTCATGTCTGTCTATCCTAATTTTTATGTAACTAAAGTTTTTTTTCTTTTCAAATACAAATATAACTTGAAATTTAAAGATAATTGATTTTCAGAACTAAATTCTCAGTGTATCTTTGTTCTACTCTTTAAAAATAGTAATTAAATTTATTTATGGAGAAATGTTGCTTCTTTCACTTTCTTTAAAAAGAAAATAATCACTGATGTAATCTTTATTTACTTTAAAAAAAAAATCTAAATTCCCCTCCAAAATAAATAGTAAATAATTATTTTTCAAAAAAGTGAGGCTTGCTATAGGTTTTGTTTGAAGACGTGATTAAATTAAATATGTTTAAATTTAAGTTTATTTACTTTTTTATTAATAATTGGAAAAAAGGTTAATGAACTTAGATAAATCGATTTTATTTGTTTGAAAACAACATTAAAAGAGTATTTTTGTCAGTATTTAATTTGAAAATAAAGTGACTTTTTGGATAAAAATATAAGATGTTCAATCCACTAAGCAACCCCCTCTGCCAGAGCGTCGTATTGGTAGTATGGTATTTTCCTAAATTTTTTTTTTTTTTTTTTTTTTTAGCATTTCACCCCAAGCAAGGTAGGAAGCCACTAGCACTCAAGGGGTTACATAGAGTTGGAGCGAGAGCAGATAGGAGTGATAGAGGAAAGGATGAAGAGAAGGATAGGGGATAGATCAAGGCATCTGGAGACGTCGATTGACATTACATTTGAATAGTTGGAGATTATAGCTATCAGGAAGAGGGGAGGGAGTTCTACAGGCAAGATGTGCGAGACATGAAGCTATTGGAGTAGAAGAGACAGCTACCTGTAACAGTTTCAACAGCGAAAGGGTGAGAGCGGGATGCCAGCCTTGTAGGACGCTTAAATTCAGGAAGTCTGGGAACCAGCGAAAGCAGCTCATTGGAGCAGTTACCCTGAAAGTATTTGTAAAAAAAGACAGATGGGGGTGATGGCATGTCTGTGAGAGAGTGACTGCAGACAAGATGCCAGATCAGGTCCAATTAAATTGCATATCTGTCTCTGGATTTTATCAAGGACCTTGAGACAAACAGAAGGGGCTCCACACCATATATGGCAGCAATACTCCATGCAAGGGCAAATGGTTGATTTGTATATTTGAAGGATCAACTCCAGTGAGAAAAATTTCCTGGCCCAGGACAGAGCCAACTCTCTTTGCATTGGGTGAAGCTATTGACTCAATGTATTTGTTCCATCTCAGGTCAGCAGACAATGTGAGACTGAGCAGTTGCAAAGAGGTGCTCTCATGGAGTTGAGCATTAGACATTCTAATGGGGGGCAGGGATAGTTCTCTGTGGTGAGTAATAGAGCAGTTTTGGTTTTGAAGCATTAAAGTTAACCAGCCAATTCCTGCCCCAGTCCACAACCAATTGGAGGTTTTGTAACAAACCAAAAAAAACAATGAAGTTTATTTTTTTTTAAAGATGGAATAAAAAATTATTTTCCATGAGATGGCTGAAAAATATCGATAAATTGCCAATAATATACTATTATTCAGATGTTTCAAGCAACGCTGGGTATCCCTGCCTCTGTGTGTGCGCATATATATATATATATATATATATATGTCTCACCACTGTTTCTTCAGTCTATTAAGTATTCTGATTGTTTGTTCAGTACATTTTTGGTCAAATTTCTTGCAGAATTTATAGTTAAAAATAACTTAGAAATATCTTGTAAAGTTTCCAAATCTTTCATTTTGTCTCTAGACACTAAATAAAAATCCTGCCAAATATATTTTTATTCACTTTCAATGGCCAGTAAAACCACCACCACCACCATTAATATTACAATATTATGAAGTTAGGCTAGGTGCAAGTATTTGTGGTTTATAGTGTTTGGGTAAACATTATCTTACCAGATACCTTGATTTCACATATAAAACCCAGATTTGTGGGTGGGTAAAATGGGATTTATATCCTGTCAAATATAAAAATTATATACTATCAAATACTGTACTTGTTCTACTTTTCATGTGATATTTAGATATTATTCTTGAAGGAAATTCTCTGTTAGAAAATAAGTCAAGAGAAATGAAATAAATCCATTAAATATAAAAAAATAAGGGGGAAATAATACTTTTATAAGTGTATAAATTTTTCTTTCTTTCTCATTTTATGTTTTTCATTTATTGTACATTTTATGGTCTTTCAACAGGATGCACCAAAGAAAAACTAAGATTTTTTTTTTTTTTTTTTTTTTTTTTTTGATAACATAGAAAAAGTAAGATTTTTTTTTTTTTTGACCTTGATAACATGTGGCAGAAGTATGCGAGGGATGAAGGAGAAAAACCAAGATCAAAAAGAATTTGCGTTCTTTGCACTATCAGTCAATCAAGATCAGGTCAACTTAGTAGATCTCAAAATAGGGTAACTGTTCGCACTTTCTTACCAATCACAACCTTTCTTCCCCCCACCCCCAATACAAGAATGGAACTTTGGACCACAGTATCACTTGACTCTTCATGCATGAACAGGTAGTTGTGTGTTGCAAGTTGATGTGAATTTTTACCCTTTTGATTTTCAACCCTGGTAATTTCTGAAAATGACTAGCAAGATTGACTTTTAACCCTTGGAATTACAACCTCAACCTATTACAACCTATTGATATTTACCTCGGTTACATTATAGCTGGGCAGGTTCCATTATGCAACTAGGGAGAACTGAGATTTCTGAGGTGCATGATAGGTATCTAACTTTTAATTTGGGAAGAACATCAGACAACTCAATATTCAGTTGGATTCTAAACAGCTTCAGAAGTGTCTAAAACTGTTCATTTTGCAATGGAACTTTATTGAAATGGCTTTATTTTCTTCAGTTACATTAATTTTCTTTTTGTGAAATGCCTGGCTCACAGAACTGGGAAATTTTTGCCAGATGAGACAATTGGGGAAAATTTAGTTTAATCCTGAAAATTTTAGAATTTTTATTTGAAAGTGTTTGTCAGTTTGTATATTTTTTAATGCAAAATAGATAATTAAAAAAAAAAAAATCTAATTAATTTTTTTACCATTAGAAATATTCCTTTCATTTGTCTTTTCTATAGAAGGCTTGCAGCTGTATCACATTGAAACAGATTGCCATACAATCACCAAAGTTAAGCAACATTGAGCCTGGTCAGTACCTAAATGGGTGACTGCTTTGAAATACTAGGTGCTGTAAGCTTGGATATGTGGTTTACAGCCACATCACATTGAAATACCAGTTCCGTACAATCACAAAGTTAAGCAACATTGAACCTGGTCAGTACTTGGATGACCATTTGGGAATGCCAAGTGCTTCAACTGTGGATGTGCAGGTGCTGTAATGGATAATGGCTAAAAAATTTGAATCGGAGAGCTGAGTTCCAGTTTCTGTTTAGTTCTTTATATTCATTTACATGCAAAACCTCTTGGGAATGGTATGAATTCACCTCTTCTCCCCTCAGCTATGGGTTAATTAGTAAGATTTGTATCACTAAACTATTATTTTCCCCAAAAAACTTTTACAATTTAAGAATCTTTTCTGGCTTTAAATAACTTGCAAAGAGTTGATAAGCTGTAGAAAACAAATCCATCTATAATTTTCAGCTGGTTGATAATAGGGATATTTATGAATGACTCAATCAGTACTAACAAATATCAATAGTACTTTTAGTACTTTTAAAGACTTAGTGATGATGATGATAACAGCGTTGAGTAAATGTTATAGAATCGGTTTACATATAAGTGGCTATCTGATGTAAAATTATCTTAGAATACCATATGAGCAACTGGCAAAAAAAATGACATTTTAGTTTAAGAGACAGTTGAAATTTCTGGAGCACATAATGAGGAAAGAGGGCTTGGAAAATTTAGTACTCACAGGACAAATTGAAGGTAAGAGGATCAGAGGAAATCAATGGTTATTAAGAGCTACAAACGATAGGCAATTACAGAGGAGCATGAAGAGACATGGCACATAGAAGAAGAATAGTAGTGAGCATTGAGGACAAAATTAGCTTACAAGAGGCCACAATTTTGCATATAAGATGCATGTTTTTTTATATGCTCTCAAATAGAATAATTATAAATCTGAGATTGTCTTTGTTTATTGCTTCGTGGAAAAATACATCAGAATAATTGACATAAAATAAAACTTATTTCGGACTGCCAGTAATGGTCTATCAGAAATTCTTGCAAAAATTTCATTAAAGTTTTAAATACAATGATTTATGTTAACAAATACAATTTAAATATATAGGAAGTGTTTTAACAGAAGATAGAGAGTGTGACATTGATATCTGAAGGTGCCTTCCAAAAGCTAAGCAAAGTATTAAGAAACAGAAAAATGTCATTAGAAACTAAGAAAAGAGTACTGAACTGTTATGTAATATCAGTGAATGTGGGACAATTTCCTCAAAGATGAAGAGACTTGAAGCAAGATATGTAGTGCTACAGAAGGATGCTGAGAATATCATGAACATAACATGTTAGCAACAACAAAGTTTTAGAGAAAATGGAAATAAAAAGGACATTTACATTTAACATCAGAAAGAATTGAAATTTCTAGGGCACATGAGGACCTTTAATAAGAGCTATAAAGGAAATTGTGGAGAGCTATGATCACCAACATCCTGAAGGGACACGACACGTACAAAAAATTTCTTAAATTTTATATTTATATTTAAAAATTTTATTTTAAAATATTTTTTGTTTATAATGAATTAAAAAGAATAACCTTTTCCTTTTTTGCAGTGCTCCGGGCAAAAAATCTTGTGTCCAAAGGAAAAGGAGGTGAGTAAATTCTTGAATTAATATAATGTTGATGCCACATTGAGTTATTTTTGAAAGCTTGGTGCTACTAAATTTAGAATTTTGCTTCTTTCAACTCTTGGGGCTACTTTTTAAAATAAGCTGAGCTTCAAGTAAGACAGTTAATTCCAAATTTATTAGGAAGGAATTTCAAATTTTGTCAAGTTTGCTATCTAGTCTGACAAACCCTGTAATAGGGAAGTTATAAATGGTTGTACAACACTTGTCATTTTTATTCAAGCCTTACCATGGCTTCTCTTCCAAAAAGCTGTCTGCTTGCATGTAATCATCTTCAAGCAACATTTTATCTTCTCTCCTCCTGCCCACTTCCCCTCTCAATTTTCTCGTGTTCACATGCAATGCGGATACCTCAGTATGAGTTACTAAGTTGAAATTCCAGTTGGGTTCACTTACATGCAAATACACTTGGGAGAGGTATAAATCCATCTCTTCCTACAACTATGGGTTAAATAGTAGGCCTTGTATTCAGAAAAAATTATTCTAAAAACAATTGGTTAATACTAATATATATATATATATATATATATATATATATATATATATATATATATATATAGATGTGCAGAGAGAAGAGAGAAAATTCTACATACAATCCAAAATATATTTCAGCTTTAAATAACCCACAAATGGTTTGTAAGCCATAAATAAAACAAAATCGATCAGTATAGGGTTATGATTAGGAAGTCTCGATTGATTGGCAATTACTGCTGAGTATTAAGTTCAATCATCATTGGGTATCCATACAAAATTCAATATTAAATAACACAAGTTGCCATGTCATAAAATCAACCAACCTAATTTGTATGCCATATTTCCTCCATTATCTGCTATTATTTATTTACTGTCTGTCAAACATAATGTTATGTTAATGTGCCATTATTTACCATCTGTAAAACCCAGAAATCAGCAATTTATAAGTTTTACTTAATAGTCCTAAAGTACAAGAATTGTGATTTTCAGCAATTTGATTATGCCAAAGAGAAGTTGTCAAGTGCTTCTTTTAAGTGGAAAACTGAAAATCCCTGATATAATTTTTTTTCTTTCCTTATTATAGGGAGTTTGCTAAGATCTCTGAAATGATTGTGCATCTCGGTCAGTCAATCAGTCTGTATCTATCTGTACGTCTCTGTCGGTCAGTCAGTCTGTATCTATCTGTACGTCTCGGTCGGTCGGTCAGTCAGTCTGTATCTATCTAGATAGAGCATGACAATTTCCTGTCCTTTGTAACTGTTACTAAATTTTTTCATTTTGGCTCTTTGCTATTTTTCCTAATCATTGTTCTTCCAACCTTTTTACACAAGCTCATTAGGCAGGTTATACACTGCTTTCCTCTTGCCTTCAATCTGTCCTGTCAGTGTCAAATTTTCTAAGCCCTCTTTCCTCATTATGTACCCTAGAAATTTTAACTCTTTCTGATATTAAATGTAAGTGTCCTTTTTTCCATTTTCTCTAAAACTTTGTCATTGCTAACATGTGAAAACTGAAATCAACAAGTTGTGTACAAATTCCTTCTTAGTCTGAATTCATTTTGCACTAATGCATTTGGGAAAAGCATGAATCGATTTCTTTTTTCATCTGCTTTGGGTTAAATAATAGAGAAAACTGAATTCTCTAATACTGGCTCAGTAACCAGATTAGTTTCTAATGAAATTTTTCTGTTCAAACAATGGAAAACTTTTGTAAAACTACTTCAACTTTCTTTCCCAATAGCAGTTTTTAGAATTTAGAGTTGTATGATTGCCTGTATTCTGAAAGAACACTGCATTAAAAAAATCACTTTATTTTATTTTAAGTATATAGTTGTGATATCTTTCAAAAATGTTTTGGTTATAAGTTTATTGTATCCCATTTATTAAATAAAAATAAATGAATCTCAAGAATGTTAACATCTTGAGCCTCTGACAAAAGGTGAAAAACCATTGATTAAACAGTTTGAATTTTGACTTAGGCTGTTTGTTCATTTCATTTTTTATGCTTTTGACATCAGTTACATAATTTTGAACAATTTGGCAACAACCAAAATTGTGGGACTTTGTTGTAACATATTAATAACAATAAAATTTTTCTGTAGGGTTACTCAGTCATCACTGACTATTAACTGAGTTTGTGTAACTAATAAATTTTATATATGGTTGATTTGAACAAAGTCTATCATCTTAGTACATTGTTTTCAGATTTTGTTCCTTAAATTCTCAATTTTAAGTAGAGCCACCATTTAAAAGAAGGAATCTCAATTTCATTGACAAAATTAATAAAAATAGGGTAAAGCTAATATTTACACAATCTGGAAAGAGGAATTTACAGAATGCTTATTAAAGTGGAAGGTATGCTAGAATAAGAGTACAAGTTTTCAAGAGTTCTCTGTAGAAGACTGACACTATTGCTCTTGGTAGTTTTTTTTTTTTTGTTCCCCCACCTAAAAAAATTAATGGCCAGATCCTTTTTACACAAACTTCATGTACACAAATACTAGTATTACATCTTTCTATGGTCATAAGTTGCCATTTTTGTAATTCGCTATTGCCTGTATTTTTTTTTTATTATTTCAAGGAAATAGAAAGAATAAAAAAATTAATTTCACACTTGAGAAATTAATTTTATTCTAATTTGTCAAATTTTATCACAAACCTGTCACCAAAGTCTGCCAATACGACTTGTCATTGTTTATTTACAAAACATGGATGAACTGGTTCAATAAGAATTGGTATATCTACTCGTATATAAAGAAAAACTTTTTTTTTCTTTTACAGCAATAAAAACAGATACATTAAAAGAACATTCATAACAAAATATATGGGATAACAAAAAAAGTATATATATATACATTACTGTAAATTGGTAATACTGAAAATATAATTATTGTAATCTTTATAAGAAAAAATTAGTTGATTAATTAATTTTAAATTGTCAAAAACAAAAAATTTAATTAATTAAATTATTTGACAAATATTTTCAAAGCCACCCATGTCACTTCATTTTGGTGGAACTCCTGCTTTGGGCAACTTTGTTGGGCAAAGATCACAATAAGGTACCAACAATAGATGAGAATATTAGAATAAATTGCAGAAGAACCCATTAATTGATTGTTAAATTTAAATTTGAATTAATATATTAAGCTTGCTTTTCAAATTATTTTTGATCCACAGTTATTTATTTATTGACAAAACTAGAAATTTATATGAACTAAGGAAGACCAAAAGCAATGTAAATTACTCAATTAAGTGACTAAGACATACAAAAAAGCAAGAAAAATCAGAATATGATTGTGATGAAAAATAATTAATTGCTCAAACATTTCAGCTACAAGTTGTAAATAAATTGCAAAATGCTAAATTTAAAGCATTTATTAAACCTAAAAAATTAAAACAAAATTTCTGAACAAAACAATGTTAAAGTAAATAAAAAGGTAAAATTTTAAAAGAATGTTATTTTTTTACATGGCAACTATAAGAGTCAACCAGTAACTCTACACCAAATCCTATAAAACTTATAGACTTATTTCTGAAGATGTAATCACATACAACTATCATATAAATTATTTCTACCCATCTATAACTGGACCCATGCTAAGCTACTTTGAGGATAGATCTCCACCCTCATATACAAATAAAATTAAACAAGTGAATGAAATAAAAAAGGAATTAAACACTCCTCTTCACTTTTTTTCTAATCGCATTTTTCAATAAAAGAAACATGGATAAAGAAAGGGGGCTAATCACATCAAATGGGAACCTGGTGTACTCATAGGTACTCTACAATGCTTTGACATGACCTAAATAAAATAATGGATAAAATTGATACAGGCCTCTATAGGGATGATGGTCTCATCTTATAACCTAAGAAAAAGTACACAAGCCATACAGAAAACCTAATTTTTAAAGTTACCACTTTTTACCATACACAGTGAAACCACCTGCCATCAATAATCTTTGGGGAGTAATCAATTAACCATACAATTATCTGTTCTAATTCTTCCAGTGAAATTTCTTCAATGTAGTCATCTCTGTTTATTCCTTCCTGGCCTAAAAGATCTGGATTTTCAAACATTCATATACATACCACATCACAAAAGAGCCAACATTTAAAGAAACATCATTAGTTATTTGCCATCATATATCTCTTAACCTGAAAACAGACCTAAGAAAATATTCATTAAACTTTCCTCATTATGTGCCCAAGAAATTTTGTCCCATTGAAGCAAGTGTCCACAGTGTTTTCATCAGCTATTGTTGCACCGAGAACATGTTCAATCAAATAAAAAAAAAGAACAACATATTTAAAAAAATATTAGGTTTGTCTTGGTGATAACTGCAGAGTAAAGAATGGATGTCCCTTAAATGGCATTGATTGCAAACAATGGTTCATGTCCATTGTAAAATCATCAGATATCAAAGAAAAAATATACATAGGAGTAAAAAATCAACAAATGAAACAAAAACACAAAACATTCTTTCAAAATAGTAAATATGAATAGACAATGTTTTTTCTAAACATTCTAATAAAAATTAAAAACAAAAAACCAAATCAAACAAAAATTTTGTTTAGCAAATTTCAAAACTGTTATTTTCCTGCAACAAAAATGAGTCAATTTACACCTTCTGCCCCAAAAGAATTATATAAATTAAAAATAAATGATCAGAACTCGTCTCAAAATACAGACAGTGGAAAATTAATTTTTGAATTAGAATAAAGAGAAAAAAAAACAACACAGATATGAAATTGCATTCAGATCCACAATTATTGCCACTAATTATGGCCTCTAGAAAATTCAAAATGTAATTACCATTAAAATTCGAAAATAAATTAAATAATACAAAAGACCTACTCATAATGCACCATTTAACAACATATCTAAATAGTCAAGCCAAAACACAATGAATTTAATCACATCACATTGACATATATATATATATCATATATATTTATATATATATATATATATATATATATATACTGAAAAG